GAACCATGGACAGAATGAGAGGGCAAGCGTGCTGGCCATACTGGTGAACCATGGACAGAGTGAGAGGGCAAGCATGCTGGCCATACTGGTGAACCATGGACAAACCCACCATGGGGATGTACAGGATCAGGACTGGCTGGATACTGGACCAAGCTGTTCAAAGCCTTGAGATGTTTCCTCTGGGATGCGATGCTCCGAATGGCCCCAGCAACCGGTATATACGACATGAAGATAAGGATGAGAATTAACGTCAGAGACTGGCTAAAACGAAGCCGTACCAGCTGTCAAACGTGATGCCTGCACACACGAGCTGGATGGGGTCCCGATGCAGACAGCAGGTGTGGGAGGGCAATGGGACTGGCAGCAGGGCAATCCTTTTAGCGCCGTAAACGGGGGAACAGTTGGTAGGGCACATCTGCAAGGGGGAACCAGCCAGCCCCATCCTGGCAGTGCTGGGATGGAGGAATGTTTCTGCAGGGGGCAGATGGACACATAACCATCAAAGGCCATGGCCAGAGGCACCGAGGACTCCAAATATGAGGATGAATGAATTAAAAAAGATCAAGCAAGACAAATATCAAGAGTAACCTGTCTGGCATCAAACCAGAACACACTCATGACAGCTGGTGTTGTAGACAGAGAGAAATCCAGACTGGTGGTGGCCAAAATGGGCAGGAATTGGTACACGGGCTCATGGAGGCTCGGGTGAGTCCTGGTAACAAACAGGATTGTTATGTTCCCCAGAAGTGACATAACACAAATGGAGGTGAAGGGAAGAGAGCCAGATGCTGACAGTTTCCAGCCCTCAGATGCCCGTAAGGATAAATGTGACAATTGTGGAGGTGGACTTCTTGAGAGACATGATGTACCAGAGATGGCCTGCAGTGGAAAAGAAACATCAAAGAAATCAAAGTGGCAAGTCTAAGAGGACATAGCAAACGTGTAAATGTGACAGATGTCGAGCTGAAGCTGCAAGAAGACAGATGTCAGATAGGGACGTGAACCAGATGCCACAGACGTCAGGTCCTGGAGACCTCAGCAGGTGGGTGTTCGGTTATCTTAAGGTAAGGTCATACACAGAGGACATCTATAGAGCAGCTTGTTTTGGGGCTCTCCATCACTGCATCTCTGCAGTGTTGTAACGTAGTGTGCTGCTTATAAAAATAGTTCTGCGCATGCTAAATGCGGGAGATTTGAAAAATGTACCTGTGCCATAGAATCACGGAATGGTTTGGGTTGGAAGGGACCTCAAAGCCCATCTTGTTCCAGGTCCTTTGCCACGGGCAGGGACACCTTCTACCTGCTGGGGCTCCTCATTCACATCTCCGAGCAGTCTGGCTGTGCACGGGGCTCCTCCAAGCCTCCTGCTGCCTCCACTCCCCAGCTCGAGCATCTGGCTTCTCTATGAGACGTGCAGAAGGCTCCGTGTGCCCCAATGTGTGGCTTTCTTCTATGGATAGAAATTGGACTAGGTGATCATTGTAGGTCCCATCCAACCGAAATATTCTATTCTATATTCACGCATGGATGATTGCAGAGTCATAAAGTCTATCCCAAGAAGCAATCAAACACAGAGAGGAGCAGAGGTGAAACACTCGACCTTTTAGCTCGTCTCAGAGCTGAGCAGATGAACTCAGACTCTGATGAGAGATTGCCCAGTGGATGCCAGGTGACAACTGAAGTGCCCATCCAAAACATCCCCAGTGCAAGGAAGTGCTAACGCAATGGTGGAGATGAGCTGCCTCCACCCTGCAGTCACCCCATCCCCTCAACTCCTCCCTCCGTCAGAGGCTGCCGGCTCTGTCTCAGGCAGAACTGCCTCCAGGAGGCAGATCCTGGGGATGTGTTTAGTTTTCCTGCTGTAGATGGTGGGGTTCAGCACAGGGGACCAGCAGGTGGACATTGGCTATGATGGTGTGAGTGAGAGGAGAAGGGTGCTGGCCATACTGGTGAACCATGGACGAGACCACCAGGGTCAGGACTGCCAGGACATGGGACAGGCAGTTGTTCAAAGCCTTGAGACACTCCCTCTGGGATGTGATGCTGAGAATGGCCCCAGCCCTGTGGCATGAAAATGAGGATAAGGACAGAAATCAGAAAGAGAACGGCTACAGCAAAGCCATGCCAGTTATTGAATGAGACTGTGTACACACCGGCTCGATCAGCTCCTGATGCAGACCGATGATAGCCTCAGTTCCAGGGGTGGAGGAACGCTTGATGGACCAGCCCAGGAACCAGCCTGGTGCTGCCTGTCCTGGCTCTGGGGAGCACAGAGGAGGGTCCCAGCGGGTTGTGTATGGGCACGTAACGATCAAAGGTCACGGCTGGAAGCACAGAGGACTCCACGAAGGAGAAGGAATGAATTAGAAAAGATGGAGCAAACCAAACACCAAGACTAACCTGCCTGGCACCCAGCCACTCCTCACTGTTGGTGTTTTAGAGACAAACCCGACCTGGGGATGACAGCACAGACAGGAGATGGTATGGGGAGGCTTGGGTCACTCCTGTGACAAGCAGGGTTGTGCAGCTCCCCATAGGTGATGGAAGATAAGCAGAAGAAAACGGGATAGAGAGCAAGCTTAAACCATCTTCCATCCCAGCAATGCCAGCCGGCATAAGCACCGAGGGCTCACAAGCCATTGCTGTTTTATAATGTCCTACTGGATGGGGATGCTCCGTGTGCTTCCAAGAGACAGGTACCTGAGAGTTCTTCAGACACAGCAGCAGAGCTGATCACAGCCTGCCTGGACAACAAGCCCCTGGACAGGGAGAGCTGCCTGAAGGGGATTTTCCTTAGACCCAAGCAGCTTTGCCTTTAGAGTAGTTTTATTTCCTTTTTTTTTTTTTTTTTTAAATTTTATGGACAGAGCTGTCACAGAAATCAGCTCCAGGAGTTTCCTCTTCCCTGTCCCTACCTGGGTCAGGCAGGGCAAACCTCTTACCCCACAGAGGAGCTAGAAGACATTTTTTATACTTTCCTAGGATAGCTTCAACTTTTGTAGACAATGTGGTGAAGTCAGAGAGAGAAAGAAAAAAAAAAAAGTGTTTCTGCATTTCATATAAAGGCAAGGAATAAGTAACCATCTACAGAGGCTGGATCATTGGGAGTATTTTTAAAAAAAAACCAACACACCAATAAATCAGAAAAACATCTGGGTGTAGCTGCTTTGATCTAAAAACTCCTTAAAGTATTTGCAGTACTATCAAACTCTGCAGAGTGGATGCTGTGGACTTTGCCGAACCCAAGCAGCCCTGTGCATTTCCCCCTTGCCATTTCTTTCAAAAGTTGCTAAAGTTTTGCTAGAGGCTTGTTTCTGCTTCAGAGGAAGGAGAAAAGAAAAAAAAAGAAAGAAGTGCATCAGTGAGCCTCTGCAGAGCTACTGATGACATCTGCAGGTCCCATGTGGGAGGCTCTGAACCGTCACCCCCAGGGGAAAGGAAAAAGTTTTGAAGCACCACAGCTACAGAGCCAAAAGTGGGTTATGGGCAGGGGGAGGAAAGCTGCACCCATCAACCTGAATGCCACAGCTGTAGGGAAGGAGAGGGGGCTTTCCATGGGCAATCTCTGGGCAGCTGCAAGTCAAGGACAGTTCTGCTGAGATGCTCATCGGAGGCGTCTGCTGGGCTGGGAGAGCGGGTGCCACTTGCAGCAGAAGTTTGCATTTAGCTGCAGCAATCCCTGCACAGGTCAGGATGCTCCTGCACCCGGCTCAGAGGGAACCAGCAGCATGGAAGGGCGGCTGGAAGTTTTTTTCCCCTGTGTGGGGGGTGAGGCAGTGGCCCAGGGTGCCCAGAGAAGCTGTGGATGCCCCATCCCTGGAGAGGTTCAAGGCCAGGCTGGATGAGGCTTTGGGCAACCTGGGCTAGTGGGAGGTGTCCCTGCCCATGGCAGGGGGTGGCACTGGGTGGGCTTTAAGCTCCCTTCCAACCCAAACCATCCTGGGATTTTATGATTCCACCCACAGAGCAGTTCTACCACCCCAACAGAACTTCAGTAGAGCAAGGATGATTCAGAGAAATATTTTATTACCATCGCCACCCTACAGGGAGTCAGAGCAGTCTGGAGGACCAGACACCAGGGCTCAGCCGAGGACCTTGAACAAGCCCTGCCACCCCAGCACATGTGGTGGGAACAGATATGAAGGAACTCCTCCATCAGAGCAAAGACAGCATTGCCCTTCCTGGGATGGCACAGAAACAACCGCCTTGGTCAGCAGCCAAAAGTCAAGACAGGTATCAAGGTCCAACAAAACTCTTGCAGAGCCCTCACTGGGGTGTGTGACCAGTTTGACCAGACAGACCTAAGTGACCTATGCCAGCTCAACCAGTCCAAACCACATCCCTTCAGGGAGGGGTTACAGGGACCCACAGCCCCCCACTCCGCCAGGGAGTACCATAAGGACCAGAGACAGCAGGACCAGGACAGCCCACGGCAGAGCACCCACGGCCGCGTCGGTCGCAGGAGTCACACTCTCCATCCACGCAGGGGAGGATCTCTTTTTCCAAGCATAGTACTTGGCCACAACCACGTTGGGGTTCCCTTGGGCAGGGTCGAACCACATCTGGATGCAGCGCCCGCTGCCCCGGCGCTCCGTGGTGTATCTGTAGGAGTTGGACCAGATCTTCTCACACAGGTCTTTGGGTTGGGGGAAGACGTGGCTGAAGGGTCTGCACATGGAGCCCCAAGGACAGCGGTTAGTTCCTGAAGACAGACAGCACCAGAAAATAGAACAACAGCATGAGCTAGCCCACTGTGCTTATGTCCTTCCAGCAGGAACAGGTCAGTTTCCCACAGCCCATGGGGTGATGGATGGTGGCTTGGCCACCTTCCAGTTGGCACCCCCACAGATGGGCAAGAGCAACGAGGGGTCTTGGCTCCAGCCACCGGGCAGGCAGCAGGGACACTGCCAGGGGCGAGGGGGCACTGGCTCCACACAGCCCACCAACCTGTCGCCCAGTTCCAGCCCTTGTGCCAGTTCTCTTTGCACGTGACGGAGTCCTTGCAGTCCTCCCACCACTCCTCACAGTCCTCCTTGCAGAGCGGCACGTGGAGAATCCTCTCCCGACGCCAGCTGCTGTCAACCTGCAAGGGAACAGGACCGTGCACACCCTTGAAAGAGAAGGGGCAGGATCTGCCACACCCCAGATCCCCCCTCAGCCCCTTCCATTGGGCTCCAGAGCTGATCTCAGGAGAGTTTCAGCCCCAGCAGAGCCTTGCCATGACAACAAGCCATTCTTCCATCGTCCTGACTGCCTAAGGAGAGGGTAGCAGAGTCCTTCGAGTCTTTCCACCCAGCAGGAAAGTCCGCAGCATCCCTGGAAAGTACACTCCTGTATGTGCCGGGGTGTGCCGTATGGGGGACCAGCACATGACACATCCTCTGGCCAAAACCAGCCCCGTTATCATCATCATAGGAGATCTGATCCCACCTGGTCGATCCAGGGCCCCAGGTTGGGGGAACACTCGTACAAACACGTGTCCTGGATGAAGTGGCGCTTGCACTTGGGCGGCATCACCCCGCAGTGGTTCCAGTTGAAGTTGTACAGGTTGGACTGGTCCTTGTGGGCTTCTGCACTGGTGTTGGCCGTGCAGCAGGCGTTGTCCTTCCAGGGAGAGCACTGCAACAGAGCAGGAGAGGCTGGTCAGAGGGCAGGCAGCAGCTCGAGGGGTCAGAGGATGCTGCAGGTGCCAGCTCCCTGCATAGCCCACAGCAAGAAACCTTCAGCAGCAGAAACATCTCCTCCAGCCAACCCTGGGGCACGTTGGGCTGAAGGGCTCAGGGCTGCAGCAAGGTGGAGCTGGACAAAGAGCAGGAGGAGGTCAGATCCTCACCAGGAATCAGTGCCAGCCTGAGGAACAGAAACAAACTCCTTCTCTTGCACCCTGGCTTGGTCTTAGCTCCATCCCCACCAAGGAGCTGGGGGCAGAGCTCTTCAGCTAGCAAAAATGGGCTCTAGGGCAGAGAGGGAGCAGATAAGATATGAGATCCTAGGTACGAGGAAGAAATTCTTCCCTGTGGGGGTGGTGAGGCAGTGGCCCAGGGTGCCCAGAGAAGCTGTGGATGCCCCATCCCTGGAGGGGTTCAAGGCCAGGCTGGATGAGGCTTTGGGCAACCTGGGCTAGTGGGAGGTGTCCCTGCCCATAGCAGGGGGTGGCACTGGGTGGGCTTCAAGGTCCCTTCCCACCCAAACCATTCTGTAAGAGTCTTTCCCTGCCAGCCTTTACCTTGTTCTGATCTGGGACGCCCAAACTTTGGGAAGGGGACCCTCCTGGGTAAAGAGGGGTGACACTGAGCTCACAGAAATCCTCAGACCAGTGGTTGCAAAGCCCAAACCAGCCCATGTCAGGCAGGGAGGTGGCTCCAGAGGACCCCAGCAATCTAACCCCCCCCGGCCCATCAGCGGAGCCATACCTGGGCATGCAGCATCCCCTCGGGGCCAGGCTGGGTTTTGTGGTGCTTGGCGTCCATGCAGACGTTCAGCAGCGGGTCCTTCGATGGCATCACTGCAGAGGTGGCCAGGAGCACGAGCAGCACCTGCCCTGCTCCCATCCTGCCACCAGCCCGGGGGATCGGGGAGCTGTGCAGAAAGGGAACAGCACGGGAGGGATTTTGCCACAATCAGCAGTAACCGAGGTGCTGGGGCGGCCAGGCACCCTCAAGGACACACCAGCAGCCCATCAGCAGCTCACAGCCCCAAGGACACCCCCCAGGAAGGCTGCAAGGTCAGCTACACGTTATCTTCTAGACAACAGCACACCAGAGACAAACATGCAGTGTGTGGGCTGTTCAGTCACCCTCAAACACCCTGAGCAGAAATGTGGTGCTGCATGAGACCCCTGCACATTGGGGTCCCGTTGCATTAAGCCCCCCCACTGCTCCAGGGCAGAGCTTGCAGACCCCCAACCCTCTGCAACCAGACGTTGCAGCTCCAGGGATCTCTTGAGTTTGGGGGCTCAAGGAGGAGGTGGTGAAGGGCACTAGCACCCTGATATCCCCTGGGGACCACTGGCTGCAGGAGGCCCACCTTGTTTGCAGGAGGGTGTTAAGAGAGGAAGGAATTTGTTGGTTTTTCTTTTTTTTGGTTTATCTCCAACTTGAGCAATAAGAGACACTTCACATAACCATGCCCCAGCCTCCTCTGCCTGCCTAGGGGCCAGAAGGGTTTTTATAGCAATTTACTGAAAAAACAAACAAGAAAACCCCCCAACACAAAGAAAGGTACAACAGAACTCCTTCCCTTTCCTTGTCAGTGCAGCATAAGGGTCTGAAAGAAAAAAAAAAAATTCCAACCAAAATAGCAACAAAACTTCTTCTAAGAAGGATTTTGCAAAACTGAACCACTTACAATAGCACAAAACAACTCAGAAGACAGCAAATAGAGACCTAAGGAAGCACACACATAGACCTGAGGAGTAGGAAATTGCTAACTTCCCTCATAACAAACTAAAAACCCCCAAAAAACCCACCAGGAACCAACCTCTCCAGCCCAGGCAGCCCCCAAACCCCCTGCAGCACCTTCCAACCACTCACCAGAGCACCTTCCCAGGGGCAGCTTTAACAGCAAAGCCTTCCAGCACAGGTGCTGGCGCTTGGCAGCCCCTTCCTAAGATATGTCAGGAGTTTTCACTCCTGCCAGCATTCGTTACCCTGTTTTCCCTGGGAGCCGTTGTTTGGTGACAGCCAGGGTGACCAGCCTCCTTCTCCCTCATGCCTGGGAAACCATCTCGTGGGGTTTTTGTTTTTTTTTCTTTTCACGAGGCAGGTCTCTTATCAGCCTTGGCCATTCACAACAAGCTCTATTTCCTCTCCTCGCCTTGCACCGGGTGGTTTTGATTTGCAAAAAAAGTCAAGGAAGGATGGATGCGGGGTCCTGCCGTGCACCAAGAGTAAATGCAGAAGGTCTGACGCTCGTCACCAACAAATGATGAGCA